TTAGGCATGGTGATATTGCCACTAGGGGGAGCTGGGTGAAGGGTTCACAAGACATTCTGTTGTCTCTGCAACTTCCTGTGAATCTGTAAGGATTTCAAAATAAAATGTGTCCTACATATATAGTTAAGTGAATATTTGAGTGCCAGCGGTGTGCTAAGCACCCTACCTGGTGCTGGGGGTCCCGTGCGGAACAGCAGACACACAGGCCCTGCCCTCGGCAGTTCATTTGTATTACTGAGTGATCAAACGGAATGTCTTTTAAAAATTCTTCCCCTAGCTTTCAGTTCTGTATGGGTATTTCATTTTGACGTTGAAATTGTAAATGCTAGAGGAGGCCGGGCCGGCGTGTGTGGCCCTGGCGTCTCTCTCCTGTCCCGACTCGGCCTTAGTGGTGAGTTGTAAGGTGAAAGGTTTCCTTTCCTCTAAGCAGAGGCAGAGGCCAGTTATTGTCACTGGTCATCATCTGGGGACACGCCAGGTGCGCCTGGCTGGTGCCCGTTCTCTCACCTCACCCCGGAAAGAGAAACGGTTTACACAGGGTCGGGCGTGTTCCCACCAAGGCTTTTGCTGAAGGAACCTGGAAGCTGTGCACAGCGGGGGCGGCTGCTGGGCTCTTCATGGGGAGGAGCCGGCTGGCCAGGCGCCCTGCCTCGGGCTGCTGCCAAGGGCAGAGTGGGCACCGGGCATTCCCGAGCCTCTTTCTGAAACTGGCTCGGCAGAGTAAGGCGCAATGTGGTCCCCTCAGCAGTGAGTGGCCTGGGGGGGCTTGTCAGCTGTGCCCGGCAGGGCTGTAATCGGATTCTAAAGCAGCACAAGCTGGAACTGGAAACCAATTGGCTTTAGAGAAAAATTTACAGAGAAATTTAGAAAATTAGAGAAAAATGTAGAGAATCTGTACAGTTTCTCTGCTTATGGAAGTCCTACATGTGCTGATTATAAAAACCCCAGAAAAACGTAATACAGGCGGTGAAATTGAGTCCACTCTGTGTGTGTGTGTGTGTGCATTTTTCTTTTTTTAATAACAGCATTATTGTGGTGTATTTGTATGATGTATTCAGTAGCCTGCAATTCACCCATTGGAAGTGTGTGGTTCAGTGACTTTTGGCTTGTTCCCAGTTGTGCGGCCCTCACAACATCAATCAGAGAACACTCCATCACTTCGAAAGAGAAGCCCGTGTGGCCCAGTGTGAATGTGCTTAATGTGCTGAATTACACACTTGAAAATGGTTGAAGTGCTAAATTTTATGTGTTTTATAGTTTTCCACAATAAAAAAAACTCCCTACCCTGTAGCATCATCCCCAAGCCCTAAGCAACCACTCATCTACGTTCTGTCTCAGTGGATTTCGTCTGCTCTTGACTCTGGCACCTTCAGGCCTGGTCTGCCCAGCCATCCTTTTCGGAGTCCTCCCCGTGTCCCTGGCCCAGTGCTGGCCACGGGGCAGGTGAGGGGGAAGGGAGGACCCGTTGCTGCCCTCAGTGAGTCCAGTCTCGTAGTCTCACATCCCAACGTCAGCACATGGACAGCATTTCCTGGTGCGAGGTTGTGCGGTCTGGACAGTACATCCCGTGTGCCGCCTTCCCATAGGAGAGATCTGAATACTCAGGCACGGCTTTGGGGCAGAAGGGGGACCTAGAGCCGAGCCATGAAGGCAGGGAAGGGCAAAGACCAATTCTCTGTACATGGAAACAGCATGAGCAAAGGCCCTGGGGTTGGAATGAGGACGGAGAGAGGGAGGAAAACAGTCCAGCTGAGGTTCTCCACTGAGGAGCCGTACAAAATGAGACCAAGCCAGGCCACAAAACCCCTTAACCTCCAGCCCTGCCTCACACCAGGACTGCCCTATGTATAAAATTATGGTTCAGTGCTGTTCCATTGATGAGCACGCCATGCACTATTCCAAGCAGCTCCTATGGACCCATTGATTCTGTGCTCATGGCATCGTTTGTGAGCTGGTGTGTTCGTTTCCTAGGACCGCTGGGACGGAGACCCACAAACTGGGTGGCTTCCAACAACCCGAATCTATTTTCTCACGGTTCTGGAGGCCAGAAATCCGGAATCGAGGTGTCGGCAGGGTCGGCTCCTTCTGGAGACCGGGGAGAATCTGTCCCGTGCCTCTCCTGGCTTCTGGTGACAGCCGGCAGTCCCGGGCGTTCCTCGGCTTGCAGACACATCACTCCAGTCTCTTCCTCCGTCTCCACGTGGCCTCCCCTCTCTGTGCCTGTTGTCCCGTGCCGTTACACGTCTTATAAGGACACCAATCACTGGATTTAAGATAATCCAGTCTGGCCTCATCGTAACTTGATTCATCTGCAAAGACCCTATTTCCGAATAAGGTCTCATGCACATGTGCCAGGGGTGAGGATTTTGACATACTTTTTGGGGGGACACAGTTCAGCCCCCAGCAGGCAGGGACTTTATTCTCCCTGTTGTGCAGCTGAAGAAGCCGTCCTTCACCCTCAGGCAGTTTGGCCTGGTGCCCACACACAGCCGCCAGGCAGGTGTGTCACGGGACACAGGACACCACCCGCTGGAACACAGAATTGTTTAACTCACCAATTTGCTTTTGCCTCTGTTCTAGAATGGCGTGAGGCTGTCTGTCGGGGCTCCCTCAAGTCCGGGGAGTCCCTTTGGACCTCTGCAGGGGAGGCCTGTGAGCCAGGCGGTGGGAGGTCTAAGACCCTGGCAAGGTGCCCCCGAGGCCTCTACCCGTCCCGGTCTCCGTCCCTGGTGACATTTAGCAAACATTTATTGACCTTCCAAACTGCATGCTGTGCCCTGTGCTGGGTGCTGAGGGAGCCTCAAATCTGAGCAAAGCCCTGTCCCTGACATGCAGGAGCTCACCCGGGAGCGGCCCTGGTGTGAAGGGATGCTATCCCCACGATCTGGACGGGGGAGGTCTGGGCAGGGGGCTGGGGCCGGGGCAGAAGAGGTCTAGTTACAAAGAAACAAACATGAGCTTGACCATCGCTTGTGATTTTACAGATCTACAATTTTAACAGTAATTAAAAGGGTGATTAGGGGCTGGCCCGGTTGCATAGTGGTTAGGTTCGTGCACTCTGTATTGGAGGTCTGGGGTTCATGGGTTCAGATCCCTGGCACAGACCTACACACTGTTAATCAAGCCACACTGTGGCAGCATCCCACATACAAAAGAGAGGAAGATTGGCACAGATGTTAGCTCAGCAACAATCTTCCTCAAGCAAAAAAAAGAGGGGTGATTGGTGTCTAGAGCTGGGCTGGGCACAGGCTACAAAAATCAGTGAACCCTGGTCCCTGCACCCCAGGAGCTGACCAGCCAGCAGATGTAAAGTGCCCTGGGGCACAGAGGAGGGAGTGACTGACTTTGTCTTAAAGGTTTTGTCTGTGTTCTGCAGAGGGCAGACCATCAGTGTGAAGGAAAGCTGCTAACTGTTGATACAGCCGGTATGCGAGGATTCTTGTGCATCCCCGCTGTTCTCCCTCAAGGGATTCGGGAGGAAGGTCTTTACACTCCCGCTCTACGCACCGAGGGCTCTCTACCCGCCATTGATGCTGCTCCTTTTGGCGAGCCGGTGATGCACCAAATGCCAGCACTAGGTGGCGCTGTGGCCCCCCCCAACGCTGTTACTCCCAGGGTGGCAATTCCACCGACTGATGCTCAGGCTTCAGTCATTTATAGGCGGCTTCCAAGTACCGCCCGTACTATGATTGACTTAATATTTTTCTCTAAACTCCTTTTTAAAACTTTTGTCTCTATCCTAGTGGGAAACCATTATCTGTTTGCCATAAATAGAGGATGAACGTAAACTCCTAAAAAATATGATGCTGTTTAAACAATGTCTAGTGTGTTGAAAGAAGGCAAATATAAAAAAAAAAGCTATTAGAACAAAGCATATTGGTTTGTGTGTCCCCTGTAACCGTCTTGTGGGCCACCAATGCAGTGGAATGCTGTCCCAGGCTTCGAAAACGGGACGGCAGGCTGATGTCACCGAGATGCATGAGCGTTTATGGTTGGAAGGGCTGCTTCCCTCTGCAGGTGGAGGAACTGAGGTGCTAAGAGGGGAAGGGACGCACCCAGAGTCCCACTGCTGATGCCAGGGTCGGAGCCAGGCCTGGAACCCGGGTCCTGCCCTCCCCCTCCACCCCACAGATGCTGGAAGAACCTCAGGAAATTGGAACTGAGGTGTGATGTGCATATGTTTCTTGGCCCTTGTGATGCCCAAGAAGGCTCACTTTGGGGTCTCCAGCGTGGGGAGCATCACCTGTTGGGCGTATGGAGCCCCAGGATGAGCGTCAGGAGTCATCAGGGGGATGGCTGCTGAGTTGGGCCCCTTGCCCTGAGGCTCTGATGCAGGAACAGAGTGGAGCCGCATTCTCCTCCCATCAGTCCCCCCCAGCTTCTGGCACCGACTGCCACAGCCTGGCACCCTGCCCCTCCGAGGAGCCATATGCACCCTGGAAGGGAATCATGGGCAGATGCTTTGGTCCCTCTTCCTTGTCAGAGCTGGAAACCTCCCCCTTGGGTCACCTACGAAGCCACATCAAGTGAGGTTCTGATGGGCCCTGGGGCCCTTCGGTGAAAGCCTGTGTCCACAGTCCGGTACCCCCGGACCAGCGAACGTCCTGGAGGCCAACGCCGGACGGGGCAACTCTCCTCCTGCTGGCCCCTCCCGGTCCTCAGAATTATCAGGGTGGGATGACCCTGCTCGATTAAATGTGTAATTCTGCTTTTACCATCTAGAGTCTTCTGTGTTATTTTGCCCAAAATGATGAGTGTGTATTAGCTAAGATAATAGCAGGTGCTGTAATAATCCCCTAAAATCTCAGTGGGTTAGCACCATCAAAGTTTGCTTCTCGCTTCCCCATGGTTCAGTTGGCAGCTGACATGTATGGGGCCCCAGCAGGCCAGCCACTGCAGCAGAACCCCCACAGTGGAGGTGGCAGGCCCGGCCCTACTCCCAGGGACCCTCCTTCCCTCTGGCTGGGACACTCATCCAAGGCCTTGTCTTCTCTCCGCAGTCTTGTACCTGGAAGGCTCGGTTCTCGTGTTTGAGGACATCTTCAGACTGATCGCTTTCTACTGTGTCAGTAGGTGAGTAGACCTGGCCCCAGGAGGGCATCTGTTGCAACAGGTGTCCATTCAACCCTGGATGGGGGTGTGGGAGTCACAGGGACGCCCCCGAGGGAAGGGCACAGCCCAGAGGATGCAGGGAGAGGGGACAGTCCCTGACTTTGCCCTGGTCAGCATGAGGGGAGGGGATGGCTCTGATGCTTTCTCGGACTGGCCAGTAAGGGCCCCTCCCTCACCACCAGCTGTCCCCCGGCTCTGCCCATCACCCCAGCTCCCTGTGTTCCAGCTGCCAGGACAGCTGGAGTCCTGTGCAGACCTGACCCGCCCTACTGCAGGGGTTCTAGAAGGAACTTCCTGTAGGGGCGGCACGCAGGGCCGATACAGCTCCGTGGGAGAGAGCTGGTGATTATTAAGCAGCTGCTGGGTGGAGTGGGTGTCTGGTAACCGCGCTCAGAACTTCTCTAGTTATTCAAAACTGGTTCCAGATCAACAGGAATTTAAAAATACATTTGGGTGCCAGAAGACAATAGCTTAAGCTACGGGGACTTGACAAGGGCTGGCTAGAGGCTGGGCAGGATGTCGTGGGGTACAGGGCTCCAGACCCACTTCTCCCTGCTTCAAAGAGACCATCCTTACTGCCTCTGGTGAAAACTATGCTCTACCCAGAACACCCCTCCTGCCTACCTGCACCCTGCTGGGCCTCGATGGGCAGAAAAGGTGATGCTAATAATAATAGTTGCTAACACCTGCCATCTACTGAGGGCTCTCCAGGGACCCAGCGCTAAGGGTCTTTATATCCAATATCTTTTTAAATCTTGCAAACAATTCCACGAGGTAAGTGCTCTCATTCCCGTTTTACAGATGAGGAAATCGAGGCTAAGTGAAGTAACTTGCTCAAGGTCGCACAGCTGGTAGGTGGCAGGTGGCGATTCAAAGTAGATCAAGCTCCAAGGTCCGTGACCTTTACTACGGCCGCCCCACTGTGTGCATCCTGCAGTAACTCGCATGGCCTGCCATGGCCCTCCAGACCCACAGGGCAAAGCCTCAGAGGGCCCCGGCCCTTTGTACATGTGACATGTCGAGTTCTCAGAGAGACGGGCCCTTTTGTGTCCTGAGAATTTCTTACTTTAGCAGAAGATGCCCAGCATGGCACATGCTAGGTGCTTTGAATGAATGAATGAATGAATGAATGATGGCCTAATTGCAGAGCCCAGAAATTGAGCTGGTTACTGAATCTCTCTGAGGCTCGACTTCCTCTTCTGTAAAATGGGAGTAGTGGTACCCATTAGGGAGATGCTGCAGGAGGAAATCAGGTAACGAGAAGCACACTGCCCACACCCAGGATATGTCTGGTCCTGTTTCCACGGTGGGGCCCTAGGAGGGTGTCTGGGGCGGTGACTTTGTCTGTGTCCAGGAGATCTGGAGCTGTGACCACCAAGCTCACCACTGTCGCCTCCCAACCTTTCCTCCTCTGGCTGCTGTTTCTCCATGTTCCAGAAGAGCAGGTGCCTGTTTGCCCACCCTCAAGCACTCAGGGAACCCACAAGGAGGTCACCGGGCTCAGAGCCCAGCATCCCTGTGTTTGGGGGAGGGGATGTTAGTGCCAAGGCCACCTCTGAGGTGTGACATGCTGCAGGAGGAAGAGCCCCAGGCTGGGAGTGGAAGACCCCTCACCTCGCTGTGTGACCTTGGGCCGGTCACACGACCTCTCCTGGCCCTGGTTGCCTCTCTGTCAAGGGGATGGTAGCCAGGATAGAACAGCGAAGTGCTAGAGGCCTGTGGTCCTACAAATCGGACATCCTGCCCAGGAGACTCCCAGACGCCCAGGGCAGTGGGAGATGAACCAGAGATGCACAGAGCACCTATGTGGGCCTGCAGGGTCTTGCACAGGGCGACGTTTTGATCCATGCTGAATACCCTGGTGAAAAGTGCCAGTCCTGGCTCTGAGACAGGTGTCCTCAACACCTCCCTGAGCTGCAGGCCCACCCCACCCCCTCCTCCTTCGCAGAGCCTGCTCCCCAATGGGCACTTGGGGCCCCTGTGGCCTGGGCTGGGTGCCTGTTCATTGAGCACACTCCCCACGATAGTATGGACCAGCCCCGAGTCAGTCAAGCAGCGTCCTGAAGCCGTCATCAGAGCAGGAGGCCCCATCCTTCCCGGCCCAGCTCTCGTCAGGAGCACGTGCTCTGCTCTGCCAGCAGCCTCCGCTCCCGTACAGAGGGCACGGGTTCTGCTTCAGGGTGCTCACCCCACACCTAACGCGAACCTTACTGCTCCACCCTGGATGGGAGTCTGGCTTCCGGAGGGGGTTCCAGACCTGGCAGGGTCCCATGGTCACCCAGGGAGCTGGTTAAACATACACGCTCCTGGGGCCCACTGCAGAGATTCTGACTCAATGAGCTTGGGGTGGGGCACAGGAATCTGCATTTGTAACACACACGTATAGGAAGTCTGCATTTATAACAAGCTTATCTGCAGATAGGGTTCAGGAACCTTTTCTGGGGAAATGATAGAACTCTGCTGAGGGTCTCCTACAGATAGATGTTGAGAGGGTCCCCATGCAGGGGGTGCTAAAGGACTTGCCCCTGAGGAGAAGGCAGCAGGGGCCTGGGGAGCAGGACCAGGAAGGGAGAGAAGCCCAGGAGGATGCAATTGCAGGTGCCATTGCAGCCTCAGCTGGATCCCGAGGCAGCTCTGGAGCATCAAGGAGTCCTGGAGGTTGTCTGCCTTAAGGCCACAGGGCTGGGCTTTTGTACCCCCAGGCCGGCCAGCCAGCCCCCGTGGCACACCCAGGCATCTGTGGCTCTCCATAGGGCCAGTGGGGCAGGCGGGGAGGCTCAGCATGCCGGGACAAGCCTCTGAGGGTCACGGGTGCCAGCCCCCAGGAGCAAATCTGGCAGAGGCTGGGCGATGGGTGTGCCGAGCTGCTGAGGGCATCGAGGGGTCCGTGCAGGGCGGCCACAGGGGTGCCGTAATCAGCCTCCACCGCCTGGGCCTCTGTGCCGAGTCAGGCTCTGTGCTGTTTGCCGCCCCCAGGCTCTAACTCCCGCAGGCACTGGAGTGGCTGATCTCACCTGCAGACCCACTTCCTGGGGCTGATGACCCCCTGCCCCCGGGTTGTGCTGAGGATCAGACACGAAGATCCTGGGAAGGGGCTTAGCAGAGCGCCTGGCACGAAGCGAGTGCTCCAGAAACCATGGAGCGTGTTCCTACTGCTGTTGTAGATGGGGAAACCGAGGCTGGGGCTGGGACCTGCCTCGGGTGACACAGCTAGATTTTGAGCCGGGTCTGAACCCAGGTGTGTCTGACTCCTGAGCCGCGGCTGCCTCTGCCCAGCACACTGTACCAGGCCTGCAGCCAAGAACACGGGTGTGCTGCTTCCCCAGCCCTCCCTTTCCAGCTTGGGAGTGTAGAGGCCCTCTGGGTGGAAGGGGTGACTTTGGAGGCCCGGCAAAGAAGGGCAGGAGGAGAAATCTAGGTAGAGGAAACTGCACGGGCAGAGGCCCAGCGGTGGGAAAGCTGTGGGCTGCTCAGGAGCGGCTCCCTGGGGAGACCCGGACACGTGGGTAGGAGATAAGATGCTGGGAAGGCCTTGAACGCAGAGCCCCGGGGTTGTGGGACCTCCTTCCGCAGATGCAGTGAGCTACACTGCTCCTCACAGTCAGATGGCGATTGGCCACTGGAGCGTGAACACACTTGGTTGTTTCTGGAGCACTCAACACGTATGTGCCAGGCGCTCGGCTGAGCCCCATAAGGATCCTGAGGTCCGACCCTCAGCACACCTTGGGGTCAGGAGTCAGTAGCCTCATGAACTGCTTGCCATCAACGAAAATGAGGAAGGAAGGGAGGGGCCCCTTGGGCCTGTCCTCCCCTGGAGGCATAGTGACTAAGCTGCCACCCTCCTCCCGGCAGGGGGAGGGGATGGCGGGCTGGTCCTCTTCGCCTTTGAAGAAAGCTCTTGTCAGTGTCTGCAGCCGCATTCCCAGCTGCCTCAGGAGCCACTGTGTGGCCTTTGGATGGTCCTGGTGAGCAGGACAGAGAGGAGCCTGGCCCCTCTGCTCGGAGGCCGAGGAGCGCCCTTGACCTGCCCTTGACTCCTCAGAGGAGGAGGAAGCACAGGCTCCCACCAGATGCAGGTCCGGGCCGCGTGCTTTCTGTGCCCCGGCTCGTTGAATTCTCAGAACAACCCCATAAGAGGGCACCGTGCCCCTGCTGTGAGACCAGGAGATGGAAATGTCCCCCAGCCAGGAGTGGCCTGCTCGGTTCTAGCCGGGTCTGTCGATTCTAGAGTTCGTGCTGGTTTTCCCTGGCTTTCTCCCTCTCTCTCACTTAAAAAATGTTTTTACCAAAATGAGATCATGCTTTTCCCTCTACAGTGGTTGACTTTCAAAGCCACAAGAGTCACCCAGGATCTGTGAGGAGATGGAGCTGAGGGTGCCAGGGGGCGTGGAGGGGACTCAGATCACTGTCATAGGCCTGGGCCTTCCCCCCCAGAAGCACTCCCACATCACCCCAGAACTTTCCAGGACATGGGGAGCAGGGTGCCGAGCAGGGGAAGAGAGAACCAGCCTGTACCAAAGAATTAACGAGATAATCTACATGGGGTGTGGTGTTTCCCAGTCCGTGGGTCGCAGCCCACTGGGGGTGTGGTATGATACAAAAATATATTTGCTCTTTGTCCAGGTTCCTGACACAGAGCTCCTGAAAGCTGGAATTTCCTGAGCGATGGGGCAGTCTCTTTTTATTCGTAATGAGCCCCTTCCACTCACACCTGAGTTTATGCTAAGAGGTGACACGGGTGGGGCCCCTGGACAGCCTCAGGGTGGGGCAGAGGGCTAGACCTTTCAGCCCCACCCTCCGACCTCCCAGTCGTGAATGCAGGCGGTGCTGGGAGGGTGGCGCGTCCAGAGGCGCATGGAGGCTCCATGCCCCTCCCCCATACCTTGCCCTCCGCATGTCTTCCCTCTGGCTGTTCATGAGTCGTGTCCTTTATGATAAACCGGTAAATGTAAGTGTTTCTCTGAGCTCTGTGAGCCGCTCTAGCAAACTATCGAGCCTGAGGAGGGTGGCGTCATGGGGACCCCTGATTTATAGCCAGTGGCCAGTACAGGTGTCCTGGGACTTGCACCCGGCATCTGAAGTGGGGGTGGTCTGGCGGGACTGAGTCCTTAACCTGTGGGTCTGCGCTGACTCCACACAGTTAGGGCCAGAATTGAATTGACTTGTGGAACACCCCATTGGCATCCTGAGAATTTGAGAATTGGCTGTTGGCATTAGAAGGCACCCCAGAGGAGGTCATAAAATCAGTGTTTTGGATCATGACTGGGTCTTTTTAAATGAAAAATTAGACTAGATGAGAAAACGTCAGGCAGTGTCTCATGGAGTTAGAATAAGTCTTGTTGTGCTAAACTCATGTTTCAGCTATGTGTGAGTTCGTGTGTGTGTATACACACTGAATCGCAATGCCAGATATGTTTCTTACTGGCAGTCGTGGTCAACAAAGTTTGAGAAACTCTGGCTAGAGCAGAGGGCTATAGGCTGGGGGGGTGGCATTTGCACCCCAGCAAGTGGATAAATGGACCCACCAGAGTGTGGGGGAAAATAACAGAACACTTATTCTAAAAATCCCATTCTTAAAATTTCTATTTTTGTGAATACTTTTTAAGGGACTTAACAGTTGATAGGGAAATATATATGGACGTTCTGGAGAGGTGCTTAATCTTCGTTTCTATCGACAGCCCTTGTTTGGGGGCCATGGCCCCCACCCAAGGCTGTGTCCATCAGGGTCCCCTTGGGAGCTGTTTAAAAAGGTGGATTCCTGGCCCACCCCCAGATGCAAACTGACAGCCCCTGGGCCTGGACCTGGGAATCTGCATTTTTAGCAGCTCCCCCAGGGGATTCGGATCCAGAATTAAGTAATATAAAGATATTAATGCCTGCCATAGGGTTGTTGTGATATAATAATAATAATATCACGTGCTAAGGTCCCAGCCCAGTACCCGGCATATAATATTTGCTCAGCGAACAGCCCCGTCCTGTGGACTTTTCCTCGCGTGGGCAGAGGCGGCCCCTGGGTGAAGTGCTGAACTGGGTGCATAGGGAGCAGAGATGGGTGAAATCCTTGAAGGACACTGGGTCCCGGAGAAGGAGAAGGTCCGTGGTGCAGCCCTGAAGGACACGTGAACTCTCAGCAGATGTAGGTGGAGGGGACCAGGGGGACGTTCCCTCTACGCAAAGCTCAGAGCGGGGAGTGAGCGAGGCACGTCGACTGCAGGAAAATGAGCATGACCTTTCGGGAGGCAGCGAGGAGGCCTGGAGTGTGACGGGAAGATCTGTGGTGGGCAGAAGGGGAGCAAGCTGGAGGGGCAGAGCCAGGGCCCGGCTGGGGTTCAGGCTGGGGCGTAACCTGCAGCTGCCACTGCAGCCTCCTGAGCAGCAGACTGACGAGGGTCGGTCTGGACGGTCCTTTCAGCAAATACCCTTTGAGACCCTGTGGTGTGCACTGAACACCGTGGGGCGTGGGGACCTCCCAGGGCTCCCAGGACCCACAAGCAGCGTTAACTGGGAGGGGACGAAGGGTGCGTATGGACAGTGAGGCCGTGAAGACCAGGGAGGGTGGCTCTGGCCAAGGGCCATCACGGACGATGGGGTTCCAGTGACTGGAATCGGGGTTTGGGGAGAAGGCAGTCACCAGAGCGAGGTGGGGTGGCGTGGTCGTTAGCAGCCCTCACGGGAGCTGCTGGGGTCATGAGAACTGCTGTCAGGGGTCCTCTCGGTCTTCTTGTGGGTTCCGTAAGCCGTTATCCCTTTTCACAGAGGAGGAATCATGGCTGGAGAGGGGAGTCAGCGTCAGACTGTGATGGGCCTGCAAGGCCAGGACAAGGTGTTGGACTGGGACTGCCCATCCTGGGGCTGCGGCAATGCCACACTCCCCTCCCTGGTCCTGTGAAACAGCCCTGTGCTGGGAGTCAGGAGGCCTGGGGCCCAGCACACTCTGCCCTTGACCTGCTGTGTGGCCTGGACATATTCCTTTCCCTCTCTGGGCCTCAGTCTCCCCATCTGTACAATAAAGGAGGAGGGTGCCTGAGTCCCTTCTGGGAAATCTCTGGAGAGAGCTCTAAAAAGTGCCCCGTTCAGATCAAAGGCAGCAAATAGATGGGGCCGGCCTGGTGGCATAGTCGTTAAGTTCACATGCTCCACTTCGGGCCAGGATTCGCAGGTTCAGATCCCGGGTGCAGACCTATGCACAGATCATCAAGCTATGCTCTGGCAGCATCCCATATACAAAATAGAGGAAGATGGGCACAGATGTTAGGTCAGGGCCAATCTGCTTTGCCAAAAAAAGGAAAAAAAATGGCAGCAGATAGAGCTAACTGTATGTTGTCAGGGAAGCCTGATTGTGTGCTTACTAGGAGCTCTCTGTGTGCTCTCTGGGCTGTCTGACTGTGTGCTCACTGGGGGCTGTCTGTGTGCTCACTGGGGGCTATCCATGCACTCAATGGGGGAAGTCTGACTGTGTGCTCACTGGGGAAATCTGACTATGCTCACTGGGGGCTGTCTGTGCGCTCACTGGGGGAAGTCTGACTGTGTGCTCACTGGGGAAGCCTGACTGTGCGCTCACGGCACATCTCGGTGTGGAACAGTGAGGATCAGAGAGCAGGAAGGGGTGGATCACTCACTTTACCCAGAATAGCGCCTTAGAGGAAGCCAGAAAGTCAGGGGAGAAGCCGGGTCCCCCACTCCTGAGGAGGAGCTCCTGCATCTCTGGGTCCCTGATGCTGGCCGCCAGGATGCTCCCTCAGCCCCAGACTCAGCCCTCAGCCCCGGGCAGCTGCCCGTCTGCGTGGAGCAGCTGGGGGCGAGCTGGGCTTCGTTCTCCCTGCCTGTGGGTTTGGGGGCTGTGAGGACGGGGGGAATGGACACACGGCTCCCTCCCCACACCTGACCTTCGACCCCCGTGTCTCCACAGAGATTTACTGCCCTTCACGCTGCGACTGCCCCGGGCCGTCCTTGAGGCCAGCAGCTTCACAGACCTCGAGACCATCTCCAACCTGGGCCTGGGTGAGTCCCTCGGAGGGCAAGGGGAGGTGGCGGGGCCTTAGGAAATGGGGCCACAGGACTGCCTTGCCGACCACCTGAGCAGAGAGACGGCCCCCAGGCTGAGGCCATGCTGCATCCCGAGTCCCAGCTCCCACGGGACTGCCTGCCCCCTCCTCAGGCTGCTGAGCCCTCTCGAGCCATTTTTCAAAGTGGATGTTTGAAGCTCCCAGGAGGTCTGATGCACGACCTTGCTGGGGCTGAGGGAGCTGGGCCACCAAGGCCAGCACAGGCTGACCTGTTGTTAGTGCCTGGCTCTGGGAGAGGCTGAGCCCAACGTCAAGGCCCTTCTCAGCAGTGGCCAGAGTTGGGGACCAGCTGCCCCCACAGCCCTGGCCCCCAGCTCCACCTTTGTCGGAAGGAAAAGCAGCGTGAGCGTGGTCAGGGGCTGGGGTGTGGCCCCTGCCCCCTTGACCTGCCCTCTGCCCAACCACCTGACCCTGAGCACAGCCAGCCTGCCCTTGTCCCTCTGACCTTTTGAGGGATGAAGAGGGGAGAGGAAAAGAAAGAAGAAAGACAGGAAAAGACAAGGGCGTTTCTGGTGCCTGCCCTTGCACACGATAGTGAGCCGAGCCCACGTCCATTGGCTCTTCCGCGTTGGCCTTGCTGAGCGCTCTCAAAGATGAGGTCAGTGGGCGCTGACCTCTGACCAGGGCCTCGTGCTGGCCCCTGGGAAGCCCAGGCTCACAAGTCTGGAGCCGCTGGGAAGCCAGGCCGTGCGGCTCCGTCTGCCGTGTCGGGAGCAGAGGGTTTCTTACAGGGGGAGCAGGGAACATGTTTCTGGCAGCTGCTGCAGGAGCTTCTGCGAGCCCCAGATCCGGAGGAGAGGCCCAGAGCCTCATAACCTGGGGCCACCAGCTCCCATTTATGACCAGAGCAGTTAATCAGTAAGTCTTTATCAAGACTAAACCCCATGCGGGACCCTGCACTGCACGCGCCTGAGCACAACGCCCAGCACACAGTGGCGCCCATTCCCCGGTGCTGGTCAACGGAAGAAGCAAGGACGGAGAGGGCAGGACTGGGTCGTAGGGGAAGTCAGAGCTGGGATCAGAGAAGACAGCCCCTGGCTCCCGGGCTAGGCTGCTGTCACCCTGCCCAGAGGGCCACTGGACAGCAATGCGAGATGCCACAAGGCGGCTCATGGTCACAGGCCAGGGAGTAGGAGAAGTCAGGGCCCTGGGGTGTCCACACAGAATGAGCACTGACCCATTCTGACCTCTTTACCTGTCCTGACTCATCTCATCTGCCAACAGCCCTGCAAAGGAGGTTCTGTTATTATAATCCGCTTGTTACAGCAGGGGAAACTGAGGCACAAGAGGCAGGTAACACGTCTGGTGTCACATGGTCCGTGGCGGAGCTGGAATCTGAACCCAGGCCGTTCAGCTCCAGCACCCACCCCTAACTCCTTCTCCAGACTCTCCCAGGTCTGATTTCCCCAGTTAATACACTTCCGGGTGTTTTCAATTGATATTGGAGATAACACTGAACTTCAGCCCCAGATATTTTAACTGTTGAGCTCTTACCCTCCCGGGAGCTCAGACGTAGGACAGATGACAGTGGTGTGACTTGCATAGTCCAGTGACATCCCCCCGAGGTCTAAAGCAGCGTGGGTGACACTCACTGAGTGCACTCGATAGGCACCATCTTGTGTAGTCCTTGTGTCCCCATTTTAAAGATGGGAAATAAAGTCTTGGCACAGCTGAGAAACTTGTCCCGGGTACCCGGGCGGGAGAGAACAAAGCCGGGATGTGCCCTGAGGGCTCTCTGACTCGGCGCAGCCTCTCCACCGGCCCTCGGCTACACCGCATCGCCTTGCAACAAGCAGTCCGTGGCCGTTTGAGGCCGAGTCAGTAGGGCAGAAGATGTGTGGGGCGGTCTGGGAGGCTTCCTCTGAGAGGAGGCAGGTTCTTTGCACCTGGAGGAGGCTGGCTGCCCCTTAGCCCTAGGGCACGCGTATCTGCGACAAGCTGCTCCTCTTGGGAACCAGCGGCAGTTCAGACTGTGTCAGCACTCACTTCCTCGAGAAGGCGATTTAAATGAAACCTGAGTACATCGCAGCTTAGGAACCAGAGGGATCTGGTCAGACCCAGTGTCCCCAAGGGCTGGAGGGTGTAAAGCGGGGCTCACCAGAATAGCTTTTCTCTGGAGCCAAGGAAAGGGTAACTTGTCAATCCATCCTCAGAATGCATGGAGATCCAGAGCTGAAAGGATGCCTCCTGCGGGAGGCCGGAGGCCTTGGCTCTGAACGTGCAGCTTGGGCCTCCCACCTTCACAGTCGTGATAAATATGCAAAGGCCAGCGTATGCCAGGGGCCTGATGCACAGGCATTTTGCCCAGCAGGTCACGCGTTGTTCTAGGCAAGGGACTCTTGTGGCCAAGAACTGAAACCCCCTCAAGCCAGCATAGATGAAAGGGGACTTAGGGAAGGGGCGGTGGGGAATCTCCGAGAAATGCAGCGGAAGGTCAGCGGGCTATGAGGGCAGCAGCAGCCATTCCAGCACTGCCGGCCCCTCCCCTCCCCCTCCTGGTTCCTGCTCCCGGTCTGCCCCCACCAGGCTCTGACTCAGCCCACTTCCACCTGATAATCTTGCTACTGGAATGAGTTTCTGAGGCATATGTGTTTCCTATCGCTGGTGCCAGCACTTCTATTTTTCTGGCATTCTACTCACTTTTGACGAAATGAGTGGAATGTAATAAATATCCAAATCATTGCACAAGCCGTGCGTGCAGAGAGGGACGATGTCACTGAAACGGAGCTCTAGATTTGCAGGCTCAGCACAATGTGACAGCCCAGAACGTTTGCTGGGGAGCTGACGTAAGAAAGTCCACGTCTGGCCCTGGTGTTCCAGCCAGCGTTCGAAAGGGCAGGCAATATATAGGTCCAGTCCTGGGCCCACAAAGCTGATGTAGGGAGCAATTCAGCACTAACGATACGCAGTAGATTCTGGGTGCAGAAGAATCGAGAGACAGCGATGGCAAATGAGGGTGAGGTTTGCACAGCTTCTCAGACGTGTTTGCAGCGTATGGATGTTTAATATTTTTAAACTATGTTCAGAAAAGGCATATGTTCTACAGCGCTTCCAAGTTTGCGTGTAATTTGGCTTTTCCTCTACGTTACATAATGAGAATTTTCCTAGTTATTAAAATTTCATGGAAAACTCGAGGTAGAATGACTGTGCCACAACCCATCTTTGGGGTGCCCCAAAAATATTCATTCACTGAGTTTATTGGACTCTCGAGCTGTTTCCGTGGCATCTGGAATACTTTGCTGCGTTTACTCTTCCCTCTCTGTCCTGCCACTAGCTAGGGGCAGTCCAGGTGTGAAACCTTTGTCACTTTTGCCCTCAGCGCTGACAGCCCAGCCCCTGGCTAGGCCCAGGCCCTCTGAGGATTGTCAGAGTGGGCACCTGGCAAGAGGCGTCCCCAGCCGGGGCACAGGAGGCTGCAGGGCCAGCAAAACATCTGCCTCAGTCTGAGGGCAGCACAGAGCCCTGAAGGCACAGGCCCTTGGGGGAGCTCCGGCCGCTGAGCTAAGGCTTGGCCTGGTGCCACTGGGCACAGGTGCCCACAGCTGTGCCAACCACTAGGATTGCGTGACAGCGTTCCGCTTCTCCTCTGGCCTCGACATTCGTGGGCTGCAGGGAAAGTTACCTACTTCCTTCTTCTTGAACATAAAGTCCTACCCTGCCACCGTGGCTCCCTAACAGGTCCCCAGGCCCCAGGCTGCAGCCCCTCAGGTCCCAGCTTCCCCTACCCTTCAGAGTGGCATTGGCTTGGAGGCCTCTGCCCTGCCTGGGTGCAACGTCCAGACCCGTCTTGTGGGCAGGGGAGCAGTTCCTGGTCACCCAGGCCCGGGGCCCGTTTCTCTGAACCCCAGGTCTGCTCCACTCCCGCCAGAATCCAGATCCGAGCAATGGAAAATGTGTTCTCTCTTTCTGCATGTGATGGACCCACCCTGCTCCTGAGGCAGGCTGTCCAGCTCGTGGTCCATCTGCTCGTGGAGTTCCTCGGCCCTCCTTTTTGCCTCCTCCTCATTCTCTTGTCTTTAGACATCCTCTCGTGATTCAGGTCATCCCCAAGTTGCCGTCAAACTGAGCTTTGCTGTGTCCCACCCCACCGAACCCCTGCCTCTCCACTCTGGCCCGCTCGGATGAGCTCCTCCTCTGGAAGCCCAGAGCCAGTGGGGGGGAAGGGGGGGAGCGGGGCAAGACAAAACCAGAGAAGTGCGGTCCAGGGACGGCCACTCCGGTCAGAGCGTGCCCCAGAGCCGGAGGAGCAAGAGGAGAGTAAGTGAGGCCTGGATGTGTCAGGACAGCTCCTCCAAACAAGCCACCTTTGACCTGAGTCTTGAAGGATGAATGAGAGTTTGCCTGGTGGAAAGGGTGGGACAGGCATTCTAAGCAGAGGGAACAGCATTAGCCAACACCTGAAGGTGGGGCAGCCCATGGCGTGTTCAGAAAGAAGTGAGAGGCAGAGAGAGTGAGCTGAAGACTCAGTAGGTGACTCTGGAAAGATGTGCAAGGCCACATGCCACAGTTGGAAGTGATTCTGAGCAAATAGCAGCCAAGGGCCTAGGACAGGCCCGGCACAGTGCCACAAAGAGGAGAATGGACTTGCGGGGAGGTGGGATGGAGACAGGCTGTGGCCATGATCTAGGAGAGCAATAAGGGGAGGCATGTCCAGGCATGGGCGGGCAGTTCTGTATATCGTCTGCCCCATGACCTCCACCTTCACCCAAAGGGAGGGGCTTATGGGAACTAGGAGGTGAGCTGGGACCCTCAGCTCACACGTGAGGCTGCTGCCCAGTTCCCCTTTGAGTCAGACTGGCTGCCTGCTGCTCCTTGCTAGGAAAACTGCCAAGGAGACAAGTTTATTGGGCCTTTGTAGAGGGGGCACGTGCTTCAAATGCTCGCTCCCGGGGCCAGAAATCTGTGCGCCGGATGCAAAGAGAGAGAGTGGACCAGTCACGGAGGGGTCAGTGGCTGCCCAAGAAAGCCCAGGGCCCAGACAGCCACGAAGAACAGCTTGCCGGGTCATGGGAGCCTGGAGACGCCCCCTCCCGCCTGGCCCGCTGTGTCCTCAGCTAGTGGCTGTGCTGTGCACAGAGCTACACATTGCAGAGTCACCGGGCAATTTGTCATCCTCATTGTTGTGGGGACAACTGGCCACAGCACTCAGGCTGCAGACCCGGGTCTCTGCTGAGGACAGGGCCGAACCACGACCTGGCTTTCCTCCCCAGTCATGGCCCCACCGCAGAGGGCATGCACACGGCTCGCTTTCACTCGTTTCTCAGCAGCCCCATCGTCCTGGGGTTACACCCTGCTCTCCTTGATTGGGTTTGCGACCCCCTGGCCAGCAAGGTGTCGAACACCCACATGCCCAGCATGCCCATCCCTCGGGGCAGGCGGTGCACACGTGGCCCTCGGCCATCTTGTGCCAGCCCCTTTCTTGCAGTGTCAAGAGTCTGTTGTCTTAGCACATCCCCAGTTCTGGGCTGCACACCGCCCTGCCCCCCACCTACGCCAGGAGAGCAACCGAGATGGGAAGTGTCACAATTTCCTACGAAGGAAGGCACAACACGGCCGCTGAGCATGCAGGCTGGAGATCCAGCCTGAGCTGGTGCCAGTCCAGCTCCTTCACTGCCAGCCTGTGACCTTGGGCAAGTTCTCTAACCTCCCCAGCTCTTCTTCATCTGTGACACAGGGACAGTGTTAGGACATACACCAGAGGGGGTCAGGGGTCAGTGAGCTGACCCACGTAGAGTGAGCAGCCCACAGCAGGACTCAGTGCGGCCTGCTCCTGTTTCTGTCTGCGATGTGATTTTTGGTGGTTTTCTTCCGGATGGGTCCCTCTCAGAAGTGAGGAGCTCCTGGTGAGAGGCTGGAGGCCTGGCCCCCCCACAACAAGGGATCCTGCGCTATTGAGCCCCAAATTAACAGGGTGAAGTCGCCATGGGCTCCATGTTCCTCTCCTGGACGAGCTGCTGGAGCGAGCTCAGCGTGGCCTGCCAGCCGACTGACATTGTTCTCAAAATGTGGTGCCCTTTGCGGAGGGTCCTGAGCTTCGGTCAGCTTCCCCGTAGGGCTAGGTACCCAGAGGTCCAGAACTCCTGAGCTGCTCAGCCCCCCGTGTCCTTTAGTTTGGATGTCCATGCCCCTTACCCAGAACAAGCCTGGCGTGACCTGCGGTGCCTGGATGGGGATGGGCCTGCTGGGGGCGCGGCGGCCACGGGCTGAGTCCGCAAGGCCTGGGTTGGTAGAAAGACCTGTGCTGAGACTTAGCTCGGCAGTGCAGGAGTCCCCGTTTCTGAGCCACCCCCCAGCACACACCCGCTGGGCCTGGGGCAGCTTCCTGTTTCAACATGGAGCTTGACCAGAGGCAGAATCATTTTGCAGTGGCCAGGGGTTCCCCACCCGGAGGGTCAGGTCTGAGCTCACGGGCCACAATCCATAGGTACTTCCTTCCTGCATCCAGCCACTGTGGTGGCCGAGACAGGCCTGAAGCATTTTTCCTGTCGGGACCCCATTCTAGAGATGACTAGACTGAGGCCTAGAGAGGTTGGATGGCCTAGCCCAGAGCACCCAGCTGGTCAGCTGCGGGCACTCGGGGCCTTCGGTCCCTCCATTGCCACACGTGCCTGCACTTGGCGTCATGGGTGCTCCATGTGGGCTCTCACATGCCAGGGGACAGAACTGAAGCCGAGGGTGCCAGGCCCGCCGTCCCCGCCCCACCCCAGCACTGCCACGGAGGTTGGCCTGGGGCTTCCCCTCTCGAGGCAGGAAGTGGTGGGCTGGGTTTAAAACAGTCTGAGAGGGAAAAACAACCCTCCTGGGCCCAGCAGAGTGAGCACCGGCCAGGCCCCCCATCCAGCTCTGCCACCAGCGCCCCCCACCCCGAGCCCGGGGCTGACTGCCTCTGCCCCTCTTTCTCCACAGGCTTCTGGGGCTCCTCGCTGAACCCCCCACGAGGAGGGGGGAGCCCAGGGAAGCCCTCAAGAGACCCGGCGCCCGGAGCGCCCCCCGCCTCCAGCCTCCGGTCGGCCTCCCATCGCGAAAACTGTGCGTGCGAGATCAAGCTGTCCGCAGGAAACGACCGCCTGTGGTTCGTGAGCCCCATCTTCATCGAAGACTGCGGCAGTGCCCCGCCCGCCGACCAGCCGCCCCCTGGAAGCTGTCCCTCGCACCCCTCGCCTCCCACCTCTGATGCTACCTCACCCACCGCCAGGTGGGCCCCTCGCCGCCCGGCGCCCCCTCCCCCGACGCCCCCTCTCCCTCCCCCTGGCCCGGCCCAGCCTCCTGCGCCCCCAGCTCCTGCTCAGGCCTGTCCTTTACCCAGTTCTCTCCCAGTGGCGGCTGCTCCCCCACCTTCAGAGGCCCTTCCTCCCACACCCCCAGCATCCGCCCCTCACCTCACACCCCAGGCCCCAGGCCCCCCAGACCATCCCAGCCAGCCACCCATGACAGCCTGCGAGAGGCTCCCACGCCCCTCCACGGGCCTCGGCTCCCTCAGGGAGGAAGAGATGAAGCCAGGGACAGCCCCCGGCCCCTTGCAGCAGGCCCCCAGCCCTCCACTGCCGGTGAAGAAGAGCCTCCCAGCTGCTCCCCCCAGGCGCCGCATCCCTGAGAAGACCTCCCTGCAGGACCAGGACGTGGGGATGGCGGCCAGGGGGATGGCGGCAGAGGGCGACCAGCTAGGTCTTTCCAGGACGTCCCAGCTCAGCCTGCCCCCCCAAGGGACCTCAGACAGTCCTGAGGACAGGCCTCCGAGGACCACGGGGCAAGGCCAGGAAGCAGCGGCCAGCGAGCCGGGCAGCCTGCCAGAGCTGCCGAGAAAGATCCGGCAGCCCCCCGTCCCGCCCCCCAGGAAGAAACGGGTGTCCCGGCAGCTGGCCTCAGCCCTCTCCAGTCCCTCGGAGAGAGCCGAGCTCCCCACGGAGGAGACGGTGCCTGAGAAAGCCACGTCGGGGCCCCCCAGGGAGGGCCATGGCCCTGCCTCCCAAGCCGGGGCTCAGAGGCCACACGGCCGGGCCCCCGCCCGACCCCAGAGCACGCCCGAGTTCAAGGGCTCCCTGGCCTCCCTCTCGGACAGTTTGGGAATGTCGGCCTCGGCCACTGACCAGGACTCCTACTCGACCAGCAGCACAGAGGAGGAGCTGGAGCAGTTCAGCAGCCCCAGCCTGAAGAAGAAGTCGTCGATGATCCTGGGCAAGGCCCGCCACCGCCTGAGCTTCGCGAGCTTCAGCAACGTCTTCCACGCCTTCCTCTCCACCAACCGCAAGCTCTACAAGAGGGTGGTGGAGCTGGCCCAGGACAAGGCCTCGTACTTCGGCAACCTGGTGCAGGACTACCACGTGTACAGCCTGGAGATGATGGCGCGCCAGACCTCCAGCACCGAGATGCTGCAGGAGATCCGCACCATGATGACCCAGCTCAAGAGCTACCTGCTGCAGAGCACCGAGCTCAAGGCCCTGGTGGACCCCGTCCTGCACTCGGAGGAGGAGCTGGGTCAGTCCCGGGCAGGGCCGGGAGCGCGCGGGAGGGAGGGCTGCGGGCAGGCGATCCGCCTTCTCCACGAGCTAACCGCTGGGCAGCTCGGCCGTGCGCCTGGTTCTCGCAGTGGGAGATGCTCAAGCCCGTAGGAGGCTGGGCAGGACCCGCTCTCAGGATGCCCCCGGTTTTGTCGGGGAGACAAGTCCCGGGAGCAGTGAGAGGCCCAAAGAGGTGCAGACACGTGTGGCTACTGAGGGCCAGTGAGTCTCTGCAGCGGGTCTAGTGGCTCTCGGAGGGGCCGCGACCCTGGAGGGCAGGGGCTGCACGGGAGGAAACAGGCCCCGGGAGGGGAAAGGGCTGGGCCAGGGTCGCCCCGGGGCTGGGGCAGTGCGGGAGCTGACCACACGGTCCCTGCCTCCAGGTCACCGCGCCTCCACTGCAGGGACTCTGAGGGCAGTGGGGTCGGGGGGCCGGCCTGGGAGGGTGGGCAGGAGTGGGGCGAGGGGAGCAAGGCCGTCACGTGGTCCCCTGGCGAAGAGGCTGGAGAAGCAGCGGGGAAGAAGGAGGTGGCAGGATGAGGACCCGGACAGCCAGGCCCAGCCCCAAACCCAGCCGCGGGCCAGTGCCAGGCCTGCGTGGCCACAGGGAAAGGTTACTGGGGCCTCAGCCGAGACTCAGCCACGGGGCCTGAGCCCCTCCCCACCCCCGGGGACTGGCAGCTCAGTGTCCCCCCACGGGGGCAGGATTTGGGAGCTCCCCGAGCTGGGCCGGTAGCCGAGACCCTCCTCCTGGGGATGGGGTCATGCCAAAAAGACTTCCCGAGAATAATTCCCTGCTGTCTCTCTAAGCATGGCCGTGGTGTCAGGTAGACATGGGTCCAAATCCTTGTTCAGCCCACAGCTGGCTGTGTGATCCACGCCGTCAGAGCCTCAGTTGGTCTGTCTGTAGAAGGCGGGTAATGGTGGGTATGCTGCAGAGTTGCTGCGAGATCAGAGCTGACCGACTCCCTTTCTGCTAGATGATCAAGATGCCTCTTGGATAAGATGACATGTGGACAGTGAAGGAATCAGCTGTGTGCACAGCTGTAGAGTGACTTCTCCAGGCAAAGGGAGTAACAGGTGCAAAGGCCCTGCGGCAGGAGCAGGCCTGGCGGGTTGGCGGAGCATCAAGGAGGCCAGCTGGCTGGAGCAGCATGAGTATGAGGAAGCAAGCGAGATGATGAGTGAGAGGCTGTAGGACCAGGTCATGGAGGGCCTTGTGGCCACAGGGAAGTCTCTGGCTTCTACTGTGCATGAGATGGGAGCCACAGGAAGGTTCTGAGCTGAGGAATGTCACGATCAGACACGCCACAAGAGGATTACACTGGCTGTGCCGAGAATGGACTATACGGGGCCAAGGCAAGCAGCAACTAACATACCTCAGGCAAGAGATGATGGCAGCCTAGGGCAAGGTGGTAGCCTGGAAGGGTGAGAAGTCAGGTTCTGATTTACTGTATTCTTGAGAATAGGGTCAAGTGGATTTAGGAATTGAAAGAGAGACATCAAGAATAATTCCATCAAACATTCACTGGGTACCCAGGCCCTCCGTGTACAGGTGCTCAGGTTGTACACTGCACAACTCCAATGTGAATAGTGCCCTTTGAAGTTGCATACTGTCAGGTGGCCCTCTGAGAGTTTCTTCTGTGCCAGGCCCTGTGAAAAGCAGTGGGATACAATGTTTCAGTCCTGGAGGGCTTCTGCGCCTGTGTCTTCTTTGCAGGATCTTTGCACTGTGAATATGCTACAGTGTCTCATGTGTCGTAACTACGGACTGTAACTGCCGGGGCTGTGAGTGTGTCCTCCTGGGGACCAGGGGACGGGGATGGCCACACTGTTGGGCAGCAAGGCCTGGGGGCAGCCTCCTTGCCGCTCGTTTCCTCACCCCTCGCCCCCGCCCTTGCCCACCTGCAGAAGCGATTGTGGAGTCGGCCCTGTGCAAGTGTGTCTTGAAGCCCCTGAAGGAGGCCATCAACTCGTGCCTGCACGAGATCCACAGCAAGGACGGCTCGCTGCAGCAGCTCAAGGAGAACCAGCTGGTGATCCTGGCCACCACCACCACCGACCTGGGCGTGACCACCAGCGTGCCCGAGGTGCCCACCATGGAGAAGATCCTGCAGAAGTTCGCCAGCATGCACAAGGCCTACTCGCCCGAGAAGAAGATCTCCATCCTGCTGAAGACCTGTAAGCTCATCTACGACTCCATGGCCACTGGCAACCCAGGTAGGGAGCTGCGGGGCGGGGCGGGGCGGGGCCATGGGGTCTGTGACCCCTCCTACCCAGGACGCCAGAGCTCTTGGAAGCACTGATTCAGAGGCCTGTGGGGCAGGACCAGGCGAGGTGGGAGTGGGGTTCCCGGCACCTCTCAGGGGTCCCTGGGGACCAGCATGGGGGCTGCGATTGGCCGTGTTCGGGCGAGGAAGCCCCCCCAGACTGCGCCTTTGTGCGAATCAGGAAAAAGCACTGTGTCCTAGGGTGCTGTGACAAAGTACACAGACTGGGCAGCTTAACCGGAATGTGTCTCACGGTTCTGGGGACCAGAAGCTGGAGACCACAGGGCCAGCAGGTCCATGCTCCCTCGGACGCTCGCCGAAGAACGGCTTGCAGGCCCCTCTCCCAGCTTCTGGTGGTGTGTCTGGGTCCAGGTGTCCCCTGTTTATAAGGACACCAGTCATATCAGATTAGGGGCCACCCCGCTCCAGTCTGACCTCATCTTATCTAGTTACATCTGCGATGACCCCATTTCCAAATGCAGTCACCTTCCGAGGCACTGAGGGTGAGGGTGTCAACCTGTGACCACAGAGGGATGCGCTCAGCCCCTCACAGCTGCCTAACTCCACGGGTGGTCACAATTGCTCCCCGGCAGTCACGCTGGGCTGCCCAGCCAGGCCTGCACGTGGCCGAACCGGCTCGGAGCCTGTGGTCAGAGGGGGCATGTGCAGGCTGGCTGGTCTGGGATGGCCTTGCCACGTGCTGGGCGGTTGACTGGCAGCTCACTGGTCTGCAATGGGGGTGACTGGGCCATATGTATCTCATTCTCCGGCAGGTGACCCCACGCTCCTGCCTGTGGCATCATTGGGGCCCGAGAGGGCATGTGCAGCCTGCAGGGCCACTCAGGGCCTGGGCTCGAACTGGCACAAAGCCACTGTGACATACATCACTGGCTTGTTTAGTCACAAGACCAGGCCAGATTCGAGGGATGGGGAGCTAGACTTCCCTTCTTGATCGGAAGAGCCTCAAAGTCACGTTGCAATGAGCACAGACATAGGGAAGGGCATCATGCGGACCATTTATAATCCATTTACCACAGCATTCCTCCAAGCAGACAAGAGCAGCCATCCTGCACCATGGCACAGACCTTAGTGAACAGAATGCTGGCTGCGTTTCATCTGCCGCTCCTTCAGCTGGCCACTCTTGTGCAGTGAGCAACCTCTGTAACTGTACATGACGGTCATGGTAATGGAGACTGGAAGGATTGTTACCTCAGTAGCCACATAGACCTGGGTTGAAACTCCTTGTCTGTCGCTTAGTACCTGTGTGACCTTGAAGGATTTACTTAACCCCTTGAGGCCCAGCTTCTTCACTTGAAGAAGCTGCTTTACAAAGAGGGAAAAGCAAGACCTCTCATGGTACAGAAGCCACACTCGGTCCCTTGTTGTGAATATTAGAGAAAAACATGTCCCCCTCAATGCACAGCACCTCGCAGTCTCAGCCAATGGTGGCTGCTTTAGGGGAGGAATTCTCTGCGTCTCTTTGTGGAAGTGTGGGCCAGTATGGCCATGGGCCAACAGAAAGCAGTGGTCAGTGTGTGCCTGGGGGACGGTGCAAGGTCGCTGTCCCCTCACAGGCCTGGAACAGGCCACAACTCCAGGTCGGGCTCCCTCTTTTGGATTAAAGTGACTTGTGTCCTACAGCCCTTGGTTAGGATGAATATTGATCCCCATGAGCAGATCCCCACGCCGAGTCAGAACCACACGGGACACGTTATCGTCACGTTGGGAAGGTTATTGGAAGAGAGGGTGCTGTCGTGGAGATGAGACGTTAAGTGGAGGGTTTCGTGGGGTGAGTGTGAGAGTCAGAGGCTGGGTGACCTGTGCCGTCCGGGCCCCAGAACGGCCAGCACGTGGCTCCACCAATGGGAACCTCCTCAGGGTCCCCAGGGGAGCACGGCGGGTCGGCGCACAGCCCGCAGGACGTGGAGCCCTCAGAGTTGGACACGGTCAGCCCGCGGTGTGGATCCCGGGAGAGTGGCCGGCTTGCCTCGCAGCAGCGACGTGAAGCTGGAGATCCCGTCGTGGCGTGGCAAAGGGCTGCCGGGGACAAGCCAGGAACCTTCTCAGAGCGAGGCAGCCTCAGAGCTGCAGCAGCCGGGGATTGAGGCGGGCGGGGGGTCCTGCCTGGTGTGGGGGGGAAAGCTGCCGGAAGGGAGGCAGAGCCCGTCAGGACCAGGCTGGGAGCAGCCTCAGGGAGGCCAGGCAGGCCAGCCTGTGCCGTTGGAGGAACATGGAAGAGGCAGGTCTGGCTTTCCTTCCCAGCTGTGTGGCTGTCTTCAGGCCACTTAGGTGTCTGAGCCTCAGTTTCCCCCTGTGTTAAATGGGCACAACCAGACCCCCTTGCAGGGCTGTTGTGAGATTCAGCTGAGGCTGCAATTTGCGTCTATCCCAGAGGCCAGGGCTCTGTCAGGACAGTTACCTCCCCGTCTGACCCCATCTGAACCTCTGATGTGGGGACTCGTGTCTCCCTGGGTCGTGCCGGTGCTCAGGGTGAGGGCGGACCCGGAGTCGTTGTCACAAGACGGCCTTGGGCCTCAGAGGGCTGTGCCATCCTCCGCGAGTCCTGGTTGACTCAGAGCCTTGGGCTCCTGGAATTCTTTTAAACGCCCCCTCTCCAGGCAGTGACTTCAAACAGTGATTTTTGCTGACGATGAATTTGCTTACTAAGAACTTAGCAGACAGCAGGAAACAGGGGAGGCAATGGCTCATTGTGAGGGAGAAGGAAAGGAAAGAGAGGCAGTTGCTAGAGAGGGCGTGCCGGGGGCAGCCTGGGAAAGAACGGAGCGGGAGCGGTGCTCATGGTTTCCCTGTTGCCAGCAGATGGGAGGCTGGAATCTCCGCTGATTCCGAAGCCAGCGCCCGGCAGAGACTCTGAGCCCAGAAATCCAGCCCGCAGTCAGGGTTCCCAGTGAAGAGTCCCTGCCAGGAACAGGCGGGTTTCTCATCAGGGAACGGACAGCGTGTTCTCCCCGTTGCTGGGTGAGCACTGGACTCTGAGTTCAGTGGCTCCCAATCTCACCTCTGCCCTTAGCAGACCGCGGCTGCCCGACTCGGAGCCTTGGCTTGTTCGCCTGGGAGGAAGCAGGCTTGGCTGGGAAGAGCACGGGCTTTGGGGTTAATTCGTGGACCTGGTTTGAACCCAGCTTCGGTGCAGGGGGTGGGCGAGCACACAGAAAACACTAGGGTGGAGCGGACCCTGAGAAGTTACTGATCTTCCAGGGCCCCGATCTTCCCACTGATGAAACGGGGCTGGGAATGCCTCTCTCAGGGCTGTCGCAAGGATCAGATGCGACCCAATACGTGTGCGGGTGTCCAGGAGATGTCCGGAGGCAGACATGGCTACCTCTGCACCGCGGTCCCCAAACACAGAAGCTGAACCCCTCCGTGGTCTCCAGGCTGGGCTCCAGGAGGCACTGCCGGGCCCCTAGAGGGACACGGGGCAGGCTGGGCCCCATGCTGGCTCCACCGGACAACCTGCTGGTCCCTGGTGTACACGCAGCGTTCCATGTGGGATTCTGTTTGAAATGAACAGTTCTGCTGCTAAATTTGAGGGGCTTTTTAAAACCTGTCATTTGGAAATAATTGCAGACTTCAAGAACTTCAAGACTAGAAATAGTGCATCACCATGGGCACATCCACCTCCCCTCGGTGGCTTATTCATCTCTTATCCCAGTTGCTTTCTCTGACAATATTTTTATCTCACCCGCCATCCGTCCTCCAGGTGGTCGCTTGACCTAATAAGGTCCTTTGTAGTGTTTCCTCCTCCAGTTCGGGATCCATCAAGGGGCAGGGGTTGTGTTTAATCTGGAACATTCCCACAGCCTTTCTTTGTCTTTTATGACCCTGGTATTTTTAGGGAATACAGGTTTGCCTCCCCACCCCCCACCTTTTTTTTTCTTTTTAACAGAAGTTCCTCATTTTGTGTTTGCCAGATGCTTCCTCCTGATTAGATGGAGCTTATGCCTTTTCAGCCAGACTGGCTCCTAAATTCTCTTCTGACTTTGACGTTCAGCATCTGAGGACCAGGCCCTCCGCCCCGGGCATTCAGCCCACACCTCCCTCCTGCCGGATGCTTCCAGCGGCTTGCTACTCAAAGTGTGGTCCGCAGACCAGAGGCCACGCTTGGAAGCCCTGGGAGCTGTTGGTGACCCCACAGAGGGCAGAACTCCAGCCTGGGTCCTGCCTGCCACCACCACTGACCCTTCCCTCCCACCCACCTGCCCCAGCCCCCTCATCTCCCGGAAGAAAGCTCCACCCATTGCTGGCGATAGTGACTGGTGGTACCCGCGTGGCCCACTGAGACAAGGACACGTAGGGCCTGCTGCCGCCAGGACCTGCTGGAGCAGTGGGAAAAGGCCTGAGTTAACTGGCCACCTTATCCAGAAAGGTAGTTGCTACTTGTGATCTTGATACCGATGAGCCAGCCTTCAAACCTAGAATGTTCTCACTCCAGAGTCTGCGCTTTTATCGCTGTCCCGAGCGCCAGCCTGGGAACAGCCCCCAAGGCTCCTGAATCCCCATCAAGTGCTTCTTCCTGTGCAGCAGGTTTAGGGGCCTCTGTCAGGCAGGGCGGAGTGGGGGGCAGCTCACGGGGACAAATGGCTGGAGATCAACTTGGCCCCCATCCTGCAGCCAGGAGCAGACTGGGTTCTGCGTGAGGTTTGGTGAGAGCAGTCAGAGCTTCTAGAATCATCGCTCCTTGTTACTTTGACAAACAGCTTATTCCCACCTCTTCAACATCTGAGACCAGACATTCAGGGCTGCCCTGCTGCTGGGGAGAAATAGGTTCGAGCCCAAGAACTCGTCCTTGAGATGGGAGGGGGTGGGAGGGAGGAGCGAATGTGGGTTCTTTCTAAAAGAACATGAAGAAGCTTCTTTTAACATAGATAAAGAGTGGGAAACATCCAAGAGGGCGGTGAAGGCAACAGGCAGCTTTTTCTGTTCCTTCGG